ATTTATTATTCAAATTTTGAAAACAGTAATTGTATATATTTTTTTTAGGATGGGTGGTGGGGGCATACGCCCTCCCGTAATAGAAACACCACTTGTAGACGTAAGATCATGTAGAACATAATTTTATATTGTATACTAATTTTACACATTTCAGTAAAGATATAAATATAAAATCAAGTTGTTTTTAATACTAGGGTGTATCAAACCACCACCACCACACCCAACTCTATTGCTAACATACACCTCTCATATATTTTAATGGTTAAGTATAAATTTAAAACAATTTGTTTTAATATTTATATTGCCTATGTCTTTAAAAAAAACTTTTTTTCTGAAAAAAGTGTTCAGTTTTGTACGGGCATGGTGGTGGTGGTTTGGTGTCCCCTCTGTCCGTCAGAAACGCCCGGTGGTTAGAGTTTAACATAAAGTTGTAGGCCACTCTTACACCTATCTTTTGACACTAAGATATTTGTTTTTCGATATGAATTGACAAAATTATGACATTTTAAGTAAAAAAAAACATTATTTTGACCACAGTTTCTTCAACAAATCCTAATATCGAAAAATCGGTACTTAAACCGTCATAACTTTTGAACCAATTGTTCGATTTTGATAATTTTTTTACCTTTAAAATACTGTAATAATCCTCTTTCTAATGATATATAACATTATAGTATTTAAACAATTTGAAATTTTTACTCACGTACCTAGTAGTTATGTGACAGAGTTTGTAGTGGTATAAATATGCTTATTCAACCATATAGCTTATATCATATAAACATTTAAGTTATATACTATATGAAAATATGTTATCGATGCAAACATTTCATCGACTGTATAATTTGATGGATGTATATGGGTATAAATGTTTTGTATTATATTCAGAGTATATTTATTTATAATGTTAGCTAATAGAGCTTAATAAACTCTATATTCTATATATAGTTTACTTAGCTGGATTAGTTGATAATTTATATATCACTCTTTACACTATGTTGGTATCTTTTCTGGTAACAAGAAAAAATCAGGTACAATTTTATCATTTTTAATGGTTTCAAAGCTAAATTAGATAATGTCGGTATCTTTAAAGATAGGTTTTATACTCTTAACACAGCATATTTATCTACCTTAGAGAAAAAATTATATCTTAATTATTACCTAAATTATATTAAAAATAATGATTTGTTGTTTAATTTTCTATCTTATAAGGAATTTTTTTTTTTACCTTTAAAGATATAATTTTTTACCTTGGAAGGTAGAAGATTTTACCTTACTATGTGCATATCACCTTTTTTACAAGTGCTATACTAACAATAAATGTTGTGCAAAAATGTTTTTCTATTTTTATTAACAAGTAAAAAACTAGAATACTTTAAAAATAGCTCTTATATAAATTTTTGTTTTTATTATGCTGTATTGCAATTTATATAATAGCAAATAAGAAAAATATACTTGATGTAATGAAGATGATGCAAAAGTCTGCTCCAAATATTACATCACTATCATATATAAATCAAAATTAATTTAAATATAAAAAAAGTACAGTGTATTAAAAGAAGATTACAAAATTCTATTTAAAAATCACAATGTATATAAAATTTTTTTATTTCAAATCTTAATTTTAAGCTATAATTTAATATCTATTTTGTTGAATGCAGAAATATAATATCTCAAAATCCAAGGTTATCTTCAACTAAAATAAAATATTTCATGTTAATTATCTACTTTCAAAGTCAGCTGCAGTGTATGATGATATACTTTACTAATCTAGATAATATACTTGACTTTTACAACTGGTGCCACTGCATGACAAATATTTATTTTGCTTTAGAAAGCAATCAAAATTTGCTAACTAAATTTCTTAAAAGTTGTTGTTTGTAACTTGCGATGTTTATGCAAATTGCAAGTTATTGAAAAGGCATTTTAAATGATTCGTTTATGCCTAATCCACCACATTAAAATAAGACAACTTGTTACTGTCTTATTTAAATATGACTTATCCAACTTAAAACATATGGAAAAAAAAGATATATGTAAGGATGGTAAGTTTATACAGTAGAACCATATTGCTTATATATTCAATGAAGACAGAGAATGTGGCCTTTGTATTTTACCTAAACTTACTTTTGAGCATATAAAGTTGACAAAATATTTATTAAAAAGTGTTAACCTTGCTGCCTAAGTAATAAGTTTTTGCTGTATTAAAAATTTTATTACATTATGGAATAGCTTATTTGAAAATTATTTCCAACATTAACAATCACTTAGTGATTGCAAGTGTAACCCATCATTTAATGACTTTCAATAATAACAAAATAAACAGTATTTTTAGTAGCTGGAAATATAATGTATTTAGCTACACGGGTACTACAAATTTCAGCATTTCAATCAAATGAATCAGTTACATTTTTACTAGAAACTAAGCTGTAATGACTTCTTCTTGAAATATTTATACTTTATCTTAAACTTTTAATGTCAGCTTGTAGCAAAGTACCATTTATCTGAAGCAAGCTTTACTGCATTTTTGATTAAATAATTATAAAATCTAATAGGATGAAGAATAATCTTTGCTTTCTTTTATTCTTTACTAAATGTTTATCAGTAATCTTGTGCTTGGCGTTGAGGTGACGAGTCACCGTGTGATATACATCGTTTCTTGCAAAACAAACACATAAATATTCTTTCTTCACTTTGGTTAGGATAAATTAAAATAGGTAGTCTAATGTTTGAACTAATATTGAGATCTGCCTTTAACAAATAGCAACTCAATAGCAGCTAAAACAGCATCGAATTTATTCAAATTTTCATAGTCTGCGCTACAAAAAGTAATTTTAAAAACATTTGATGCACTCTCAGTCCGGTCACCCCTTAAAGTTCATGTTATTTTACGAAATCTATAGAAAACGGCCCGCGTTTCCAGACTAGTTAAATACAATGACTATGATGACTATGGACTATGCTAAGACTATGCTGTCACAGCAACTGTTATCAAAATTCACTTGCGCAGAAAAGTTAAACGCGAGGGCTTTGTAATGAATAGCCGCGGTTCGCAAATGTTCACAATCATTTTCAATTAATTGAATATTCGTATAAAAAAAAACTAAATGATACTAAATTACATTATACAATTTATTCAAATTTTCATTAAATTCTAAAAATAAAAAATACATTTATTATACAAAGTTAAACAAATTTTAAAATAATATTTAAATATTTCCTTTACTTATAACATTTTATCTCTAACTAAGCAGCTTTTGTTTTTGGCTAGAAAGTTCTTTTCCATACCTTTTACTAAAAGTTTTAGGTATGGAAGAAAACTTTGAAACAAAAACAAAAAAAGTTTCAAAGTTGTACAAGTATATTCTTAGTTTAGCAGTACTTAGTTTAGTCTTACTAAAATCTTGTTGTTTTTGAATAAAGAGTCCTTTTCCTATACCTATATAATATATTATATAGGCATGGAAAATAATTATTTTATAAAAAATAACATTTTTTTATAAAACTTAATATAGGCTTTATTAATAAAGCCTATATTATATATTATATAAATATACTAAATATACCTATCTAATTTAGGTATATATCTATACAATATAGTATATTGTAGGTCATTAATGAATATTTTTATTCTTTTAAATTTGGCATACAAAATTTATTTGTACAACAATTTAATGTTACACTAAACAGTTGTTTTTATTTACCACTGGTTTTAAAGTGTGAAGAAAGACCAAAATATAACTATAATTGAGTTATATTTTGGTCATTTTCTACTCAATTTGATGTTGAATATTATATATATTCAATATCAATGACATGGGTTGACAATAATTTGATTGACAATGACTCTTTGAATTTGTTAATTGAATGCAGAAATGATCTCTACTCACTTATAACATAAATTCAATAATTTGCAATGTTTTTTAAGTAAAGTTGTACAAGTATTTATTATTAAGTATTTATTAATACAAGTATGTTCTATTGATAGAAACTCCTAAGATATCAATATCTTACCTAAATCAATTTTATCTGGTTATATTAAAATGATATAACATGGAATATTCTCAATAATAAAATTATTATTGAGTATTCCTGAGTATAGACAAGATAGTAATATTTTATATATATATATATATATATATATATATATATATATATATATATATATATATATATATATATATATATATATATATATATATATATATATATATATTATATATGATAATATAATAGATGTTTTTATATATATATTATATATGATCAAAACAAATACCTTATAGTTATGCATATAAACACATACATATACTAATAGGTAGGTACTATTTGTATAAAAATTTCGAATTGTTATATATGATATATTAAATTATATGATATATTAGGAAGGTGTTCAGTATTTAGGCCTCTCGTTTTAAAGAGAGGCCTGAGAGTTTACTTGATTTTAAATATTGTTTTATTTTTAATAAGTTTGACTTTTTGAAAAATAGACAATTTATCATATATTTATGAACAGGAGTCGAAACAAGTGTCTGATATTGCTGCCCTTCATACCATTCTTGAGGCCTGCTAGAGGAGGGCAAAGCATTATTTTTTTTTTCAGTAAAAATGAACAATGGTTGGTTGCCCCCATAAATTGAGTCCCAGAAACAGTCCGGGGGCACCAATGTCTGACATTTATTCTGACCTCTATTTATGAATATATTTATAAAATAAGCTTTTGATAATTTAAAATCTTAAAATAAAGTTTGTTGGTTTAACTTAGATTATAGTAATAATAATAAAATTTAATTTTTTTATAATTTTCAATGAAAATATGCTTTTTATGAAGACAAAATTTTAATTTTAGGAAAAAAACAAAATCATAATATATATATATATATATATATATATATATATATATATATATATATATATATATATATATATATATATATATATATATATATATATATATATATATATATATATATATATATATATATATATATATATTAGTTTTTTTTAGACTTTATTACATTTAAATTTGTAAGAAAATGGCAGATTCAAGTAAAAAGAAACATTCAAGTAAAAAGAAAAGCAAAAAATTATTTTCTCACAAGGTAATTATTCCCTTTTTCCTGTTTTCTGTAAAATAAAAACAGCATGTATAGTTTGGATTTTTGTAAATCAGTCTTTATTATGTTAAGTAGTTTAAATATAATTCAGTTCATTGTTAAAATTACAAAATAATGAAGATAATTTTTATTGAGGTCAAGTGTCACATTGACTTATTGGTTATTTTAACAATTTTTTATTGAAACAACATATAGTATAAAATATTAATTTAAAATATTTTAATTAATTGAAATATAATAAAATTTTTTTCATACCTGTCAATCTTTAGTTTACTGAACTATTGCATTTAAATTGAAAAGTTTATATTCCACTTTTTAGTACAAAAAAGGTTATATTTTTAAGCAAATGCTTTTGCTATATTTCATTTTTTATTTTTTTAATCTTTACAAAGTGTTAACCTATTTAACCAATTATTGTAATGCTGCAATTTTATTATTAAACAGACTACAAGAAATAAGAGGAAGAGTTGTGATTATGTTCCCTAGTAGAAATCAACATTGATGCAATATTGGTACAATATTTATCTCAGTGTTGTTTAAATATTGCACCTATATAAAATGTTCAAAAAATGAACATTTTATATAGGTGCAATATTTAAACTAAAAATTAAAATGTTATAAAATGTTTTTATATATATATTTTTTCAAAATCTTTCTTTTGATTCTTTATTAAATGCATGGTTAAAAGATTTTATGTTGGTATTTATTTTTCTCAGTGGTTGAACAGTAAACAGGCACAAATTTATCCATAATTTCATGGTAATTATGTTGCAATATTTGGTAGCACTCTTTAAAGCTTTTATTGACAAAAAGTGTTTTCCAATTTTGTATGAAATATTAGGAGTTTATGCCATTGAAATCTGCTTGGCTGCAACAAGTTACTGACATTTTAATCCTATCAACTTTATCAAAAAGTATTAAATCCCATGTTATGATCAAGTGAAGTTTACTTTTCAAAGTGTGGCCAAGTGGTGATTGTATTGAAATATTGGTGGGGCTGTTCAAGTTGTCAGTAAAAACTAGATCAAAAAAATAATTAATTAATTTAATGGGAAAGTTGAGTTAGTAAGCTAGAATTAACTATATTAAGAAATTCTAAGTTTTCTTTTGAAGTAGAAGTTGCGGCTTTTAGCATGCTGTTAATGGATTGCATGTTAGTGTTGTTAAAGGTGGCAAATCTAAGTTTTTGGTTCATTTATGCGTTGACTCAAATAATAAAAACTCAGCTTTCAGCATCTTTAGGTTAATGAGGTTTTTTGCAGACTCTTCAAGAAACTTTGTAATTGAATTTTCCATGATTTTTTAAAAAGCTTTGAGAAAAGCGAAGAAGCTACTTTGCTCTGAGAGCAAAGTAGCGTCTTCGCTTTCCTCTTGATCTTGGTGCTCACAATAGAATTTCAAAATAATAGACAATAACTTTTCAGACAGTTCAATAATGTCAATTTTTGAAGCTAAAAGAAACATACTAGATTTTTTTGCTTGACTGGAAATGTTTTCAGGATTTTGCAAATTCAGTAAAAGAGTTGCTGACTCTTAATTTAATACATCAACTTATTAAATTATTTCATTTTTAATTACATTAACATAATATAATCTTACATTTAAATAAATTTTATAAATACATATAAATGAATATTAAATTCAAACGATTCAAGAAGATTTTGTTTGCAGTGAAGAACCCAGAGTTTTTTTAGGGGTACCGTTTTTTTCCGGCAACGTTGAGGTGTTAAGGGGTGTTTTTGATTCTCCTCCTCCTTTTCTTCCCCCCCCCTTCCTTCTCCCCTACTTAAACATGTGCCGCAACAATAATTTTTAATAATTATTTTTTTAAATACATGAATTTACTGGAGGACGATGTTACTTTAGATACAATAAGAAAGCTATTTTACTTAGACTTTAAATAACGATTTTGTTACAAATACCTATCAGTAATTATTGAAAATTTTTAAAAGTATTTTAAACATTTATAAGCTATATTTTTGTAAATTTAATTTTAGTGTTTAAATGTTTAAATACCTTAAACCATTTATATTAAATAATATATCTACAGTGTTTATTTAAATTAAAAACATAAGCATTTAATAAACAAATATGTTAAGCATTTAATAAACTATTCGAAAAAGCAACATAAGCATTTTTAATAAATTTATTTACTAACTTAGTTTTAAAACTAGATTTAAACAATAGCAAACCTGTTCTTTTATAACTTTTACTAAATGTTAATAATCTTTAAAGTGATTTTAAGGCGCCCTTGGTATTAAAGATAATTAAAGAAGAAATAATTACGGTAAACAAAATTTTAAAAATGAAATATTTTTTTGAATTAAAAGCATACTATATTTTAAAAAACATTTAAAACAATTTATTTTCTATATAATTAAGTATAGTTTAAAAAAATTACAATTATTAAATAAATTACATTTACTATGGGTTATTTTAAACAGATTTTGTTAAAAATTTTATTAAGTTATTGAAATCTTTATTTTTACTATTTTAAAGAATATTAAAAAAAAAAATTTTTGTTTTCCTTGCGTAAGTTAAAATAGCAAGCTAAAGATCAAATCTTTAATCATTCAAAAATTAAACTTGCGCGATTATTATGTCACTTAGTAACCAATTGCAAATTACGTTACATAGTTATGTAACAAAGTTTTTACATTTTTTTTTAGTTCATTTTGTTGTCTTGAAGAAAAAATGTATTAGCTAAAATAAACTGAAAATTATTTAAATAATACTGCAATAAAAACCGGAATTTTTTTTCTATTTTTCATAAAAAAGCAAAAGAAAAATTAAAATAATTTTCGGGTTTTTTTTGGGGGGGCCCATACCGGTCCAACAGTACTAAAACATGTCTGGGTTCTTCATTGGTTTGCCTAAAACTTTGTGTTCTACATTCGTATATTTTTAGACAAGCAACTGTTTCTATTGGGTAATTATTACAAAACATTTTGCAAAAAATGAAATCGAAATCTCCATCTACCACAGGAAAAAAGTTAAAGCTGCATGTTAAAAAAACAAATAAAACAGCTTACTAAACTTGTTAACAAAATGTCATTGCATAACAAAAATATACTAAAAAAGTGTTAAAAAATATAAAACCAGTTTTTGTAATTTAAAACCCGGTTATAAAAAAAAAAAGTAAAACTTTTTAATGCAGCTGTATATTTAATTTTGAGTAAAAAAATGTTTAGGAAGGAAAACCGAAAAAACAATTGTGATAAAAATGAACCAATTTTTTTTTTTAATAACAAATAAAATATAAATATTGAACAATATAGTAATATTTTAAAATAAATTTGACAGGTAAGTTAAACCCAAGCATTTATTTTAATAAACTTAAATATATATTTTAAATGAAAATAAAAATATATATTTTTTAAATCTAAATTAAATTATATATTTTTTTACCAGAATAAAGTTATATATTTTTATAAAATTAGTTTCAAATAAAGTAATATATTTTTTATCAGGATTAAATTAAATTATAATCTTTGCTTCAAGTCTAAATTATTAGTTTTTCAAGCAAAAAATCAATAATTACAATAAAACAAAAAACAAAATAAAAATATATATATATTTTTTATTTCAGTTTTTGTCATTATTAAATAATGAAATGATATAAATAATGAAATGATAAACCAATTACTTCTTTTATCTTACTGCTTACAGAAAATTGATAAAAATTGATAAAAAGTTGCTTAACCATAATCGCTTACTGCTTACGTAAAATCGCATAAAGCGTATGTAAATTGCTCTATGCATAACGCTTTAAAGCAAGGCCTGTTTATGAATAATAATATAATAAAAAAGAATTATGTATAAGTTATTGAAAATGTATTTAAAAAGTTGTTTAAAGTTCTTTTTTTAAATCTGTTAAAAAACTCAAAGTGAATCCAAAAAATTTTGATTTTAGTCTGCTAATCAATATGAAGAAATTTTTGATGTAAGTAGTTTTTTTTTTTCATTTATAGTTCTTTAATTTATCTTTTTTTTTTTTTGTAATTTTTGCTCTTTCTTTTTTTTTTTTTTTATTGGTTTTTTTTAATAATAACTCTTTAAAAGTCTTTTAATTATAAAATATGATAAAGGTTCTTATGAAGAGTCTTAAAGGGATCCCAAACTCCCTACACATTTTGTGTCATATTTAAGATAATGTTGAAAAAAAAAGTTTGAACCAAGTTTTTTTGATTAAAAATAAATAATATATGCATACCAAGGAAAACCAAAACAACGAAAATCTTTTTGTATTAGTTGAAGTTCGCCTTCTCCATTTTACTCAAAAACTTGGAGTCTTTAAATTATACGTCATAATATACAACCTTTGGCGATTTTTTTGAAGCGCGTTTAATTCATAAAAGTTTTAGTAGACTTTTGACAAATAATTTGAGAGTTTGGGATCCATTTAATGAGCTCTTTATTCAGAGCAGAAAAAAAAATTGGAAATTTTAAGGAACTATCAATTTGAACTATAATTTTTCAGCCTATTAGCGCTGGAAATAATGGCCAATCAACAAACATCTACTTATAGAAAAAATAATTTCTCTCTGAATATTAATTTGGTAGATCAAATTTGATAAATTTTGAAAACCTCCAAAAACAGAAAGTTGAAATTATTAAGTTAGCGACTAAATGTTTTTGATTATTGGAATAAAATTTGAATTAAAGATAATACCTATAAATATTTATATTACTTTAAAAGTCCAAATAATAAATAACAGGCTAAGGAAAAAGTAAAAAATTTTTTTTTCTAAAAAATCTTTTTTTAATATATAATTTCACTAAGAAAAAAGTAAAACTTTAGCAAGTAGTAGCAAGATAGTAATTTCTTATTAAAAACTATACATTTTTCCTAGCAGGTTTTTTATTACAAAAAAAAAATTACAATTAAAAATAGCTAATAGATAGTAATATTATTTTTGTTAAAAACTTTTTTTTAGGCAATTAAAACTAATATGCTAAAATAGTTAAGAAAGGCCAAGAAAAAAATTATTGAGAATTAAACATAAAATTTTATTTTGTTAAAAGATAATTCATAAATTTGATTTATTTTAAATCAACATTTTTGGTACATAATAGACTTTATAACAATATTAAGCTCATAAAATATATTGCACTTATGTTACAAAATGCATTATGTTAAGTGAGATAAATTAGATAAAAAATATAAAAATTCAATTTGAACATCCAGAAAATATTTTGATTGCCTACTTTTCAATATTATACATTTTAGCCGATCAGTGCTGATCTTTAAATAATTATTTCAAACATCGCCCTTTTTATTTTGATTGCTCAACTTCTAGTAATAGAATGTAATAATTTATACAGCAACATTTTCTATTTATCTGTTTCGAAAAAAAAATCATTTTATTTAATTTAGTTTTTTTTTGTTTAGGACAGGTCACAACACCAAAGTTTAAAGAAAAGAAAACACCTGGTATGCTTTATTTATAAGTTTTGGTTTAATTATCAGTTACTTAAAGATTTTTTTCTGCTTATATCTGTTGGTAAGCCTTTCATTTTGCATCAGTAAAGTATTCTTAATTAATTTCATTTAAGTTTAAAAATGAAGTATTTAATTCCAACAGTAATTGAAGGAATTGCCTTAATAAAATTCCTTTACATCTCTCTCTCTCTCTCTCTCTCTCTCTCTCTCTCTCTCTCTATATATATATATATATATATATATATATATATATATATATATATATTGATATATATATATATTGATATTTATATATATTGATATATATATAGAGAGAATATATATTTATATATATTGATATATATATTGAGATATATATATTGATATAAATAAATTGAGTCTTTTATATATATATATATATATATATATATATATATATATATATATATATATATATATATATATATATATATATATACATTTATTTATATATATATATATATATATATATATATATATATATATATATATATATATATATATATATATATATATATATATATATATATATATATATATATATATATATATATATATATATATATATATATATATATGACTCAATTTATTTTTTATAAAGTCCTGATTAAAACTTGTTTGGATCGGACTGTGTCTGATCAAGTTTTCAAAATATAATTTTTACGGTTTTATGGAACCGAGTTATGCAATCAAAATCTTTGTCATGATATTCTGTTTATTTAATATTACTCTAGTAAAGTTGTAGTTTCTTTCCTTATTATTTAGAATAATTCATCGTTAATTTTTGTTTTTTAATTAAATATTTTCAATTTAATATTGTACATTTTTTTAGATAGACTTAAAATTTTACACTGTAACTGAGAACGTTTATTATTTATTTTTTATTACAATTTAATAATGACTGTTTTGATGTTTTAGCAATATATATATGCAATTAAAAAAATTGTTATGTTACAAATAACTTTTAATCATTGATTTTTTTTAAAGTTTTTTATTTTACGTGAAGGCGTATTTAAATAAAAGAAAATCGCGAAGGCGTATTTTAATAAAAATACGCGAAGGTTTAAATAAAATAAAATCAAAAATTAATTATAATGATCATTTTAAATTAAACGTATTATGTGCACAATTAATGTTATATTTAAACTTTTTTAGTTAGGTATGTATTTGTATTTTATTAGGTATGTATTTATGATAAATTTAAACATTTGAAACTATTTTTTTATGTCATTCTAAAAATCTTTTATTTTAACTTATAAAAAAAAAACTTTTTTTTTTTTTTTTATAAGTTACTTTAAATGATAAAAACATCATTTAAAGTAACTTATAAAAAAAAATATTTTTTTTTTTATAAGTTACTTTAAATGATGAATAAGTTAAATTAAATTTTGCTATGATATAATTCCTTTTTTTTTTTTTTTTTTTTTTTGCTTCTATTTTTACAAAGATTTTTTTAAAAGTTTTTTAAAATTTTACTTACTAATTAAATAATGAAATGATTAAAAGTTATGATATTAAAAAGACAACGTTATTTTTTTAAACAATTTTTTTTTGCAACTTTTTGAAAAAAATGTTTATACTTAAAAAATGTTGTTTTTATTATTATTAAAAAATTGAAAAATATTATATTTTTTTCTTTTCAATAATAAATAAATTAGTTCATTTATTAAGCAATCAAAAGAAGTAATCTTTAAAAGCGTTTTGCGTAACTTTTATTAAACATAAGATCATTTTTAAAGTAACTTTTTTCAGATGCATTTAAAAGCGTAACAAAACTAATTTCTACTTCGATTTTTTTTTACTTTTATTTTAAACTAATTTATTTTCTTTTTTGTAAGAAATTGTTTTGCTCATTCTTTAGTTTTTTCCAAGTTTAAATTTAGGATAACGTTTCTTTTTTCAGGGTATTTCTGAAACGTTTCAAAAAATTGAAAACAAATACTATACCAGAAATTTAGAAATCAGTCATAAATTTTTAAGAAAAATTTTTTATTTACTAATCTACTACAGACCTGTTTCCGTAAACTGTATCGTTTGCAAATTTATAGATTATTGATCAAAAATTTTAAATTTTTAATTTAAGATTTTTAAATTAAAATTAGAATTTTGAAAAAGTATTTGGCTCTTTAACTCATTTTAAAGTGATTTTCAAATTGTAACAGTTAGTTGCAACAATTATTATGTTGCAACAGTTAGTTGCAACAATTATTTAGAGTTTTATTGTTGTCTAACTGTTAGTTAGAAAACAATTATTATTAATACAAAATGTATAATTAGTTTAAAAACTTTGTAACATATTGCTCTTAAAGTGTATGATTGAAATTATTCCAATAATAAAATGTATGATTGAAATGATTTGAATTGAAATTTGCAACAAAGAGCTAAAATAGTAAACCATTTCTATAGTAACCAACGGATTAATATTAAAGAGTCTAAACTTCCAAGTATAATAACTGGTCATGTATCTATCAACGCTGCATTTGCAAACTCTCACTCATATTGTTCAAGTTTGCAAAAATTTAGAGATTTAGAGGAATCTATGTGTAATTTTGCTCTTCAAACAGGTTAACCATTGTCGATTGTTGATAATAAGTATTTTATTAAAATGCTAGCTCCATTTGATAACAAGTACAAATTGCCAACAAGGCGTTTTCGTATGAAATAGTGCTGCTTAAATTTGAATCATTTAAAGTAAAAGTACTGCAATTTTTAAACCTAGCTGAATTTTGCCATCTAACCACAGATGGATGGACATCATAAGTTTACATTTATACACCGGCGCCACAGTACATTTTGTTGGTCAAAATTTTTGTTTGAATTTGATTTGAATTGCATTAAAGCATAGCCCCAAAGCTCATACTAGCCTATATTTAAAGGAGCAAATTGAGTTAATTTTAAATGAATGGAAACAAGTGATAAAACACTTTTAATGAGTAGTGACACTGCTGCAAATATCAAACATTGTCTAAAAGATCTAATTAATAAATTGTACATACCTTGTTTTTGTCATATATTAAGTTTAATTGTTAAAGATGTTCTTGTAAAAGAGAATGAGCTATTAACTGACAAAAATCATTGCGTTTTCATAACTTTAAAAAATTGTAGGAAATTCATTGGCTTATTTAAACATAGTAATAAGCTTTCTGTACATTGTATTGAGTTAAATAATACGAAAATTGAAAATCAAGAAGCTTATGAAGAAGATTAAAAAGATTAATGTTCAATTAACAAATTAAAACAAGATTTTGCTACTCAGTGGAATTTGACCTTTTTAATGTTGCAGTCAGTTTTTAAACTTAGCGAATCAATCAAAGGTGTTATCAAGCCAGAGAACAAAGATAATAAGGATTTGTTATTAAAAAACTGGGAACTGGAAATCATTGGCGAGCTAATTGATTTATTAGAGCCAATACATGATTTTACAAAAATTTTGAGTGGATCAAAATATATCACTTGTTCAATTATATTATCAGCCGTTTATAAGATAATTGATTACTTTGCTAACTTCAAAAGTGAATCAAATAATTGTACAATTATGAATCTTACCATCAAATTCAAAGATAATTTCATATGAAGATGTGAGGATTTTCTTAAAATTGAAAAGTTGTACGCAGCTACATATTTAGATCCAGGATTTCGTAATTTTTAATTTATATTGAAAACAGCAAAAATTCCTTGTATTAAAAAAGCTCATTCTTTAGTTATTCAATTGAGGCATGAATTGCAGTTAACACCAACAAGCCTTCAGTTGAATAGCCAAAATTTTTCATCTAGACAAAGAAGTCCATCAAAAAAAAGACAAATATTGTTATGTGATGAAACAGTGTCATCAGAAGATTTGTTATCAGTAGACAATGAAATCATTATTTAAATATGAATTTAAAAGTATCGTTAAATTCATGTCTCCTCGTACTTTATAAAAATAATTTATGTAAATTTTCCGTTTTGTCAAAGATAGCAAAAATGCTTTTTTGTATAACTGCTTCATCAAGGCCTTGTGAAGAGTTATTATCAAGTGCTGCCGAAATCATTACAGAATGGTGATATTAACTTAAACCAGATTTGGTTGAACAATGTGTCTTGTTAAACCACGATATATATATATATATATATATATATATATATATATATATATATATATATATATATATATATATATATATATATATATATATATATATATATATATATATATATATATATATATATAAATATATAAATATATAAATATATAAATATATATATATATATATATATATATATATATATTTATATATATATATATATATATATATATATATATATATATATATATATATATATATATATATATATATATATATATATATATATATACATAGAGTTTAGATAGGGTTATAACCACTATTAAGTAGCCTCCTTGTCTGTAATGGCCTTCTTGGCCTTGAGGAGGTGAATAACAAAATGGATTCTATTCTCTGTCTCTATAAATCTGGATTCTATTCTCTATCTCTATAAATCTCAAATCCGGCCTTGTATGGAATACATTGCCATATCTGGGGAGGATCTTCTAATGATGCCATTTCTCTTTTAGACAATGTGCAAAAACGCATTGTTAACATAGTTGAACCAGCTCTTGCAGCCAATCTTCATCCTTTGTCACATCGTCGTAATGTTGCTTTTCTTTCTCTTTTCTACAAATACTATAATGGGCACTGCTCTAAAGAGCTAGAGTCTCTTGTGCCATCTACTAAAATTCACTCTCGTGTTACTCATCATTCAATTTAGTTTCATCCTTTTTCTGTTACTGTTCCTAAGTGCTCCAAAAACTCTTATTTGTCTAGTTTTTTTCCTCGAACATCAGTTGTTTGAAATTCGCTTCCTTCATCTTGCTTTCCTGATTCATATAATTTGTAATCTTTTAAGTCGTCTGTCAATCGTTATCTTGCTCTACAATCTTCATCTTTTCTCTTCCAGTATTTTTCAACACTAAT